TCCCCTCGAGAGAAGAGGGAGAATTATTTGACATAATACAAATATAAATATGTCACATATGTTTCGTATAGATTATAAATACTTTCGAATAATGAAATAATATGAATAATTGGAAATTTGATTCGATTAGACGATGTGTTACATTTAGAAAAAAAATGGATTCGTAAAAATGACAATATTTTGAAAATTTTTACGTCAAATCGTCACGGCATAGGCATAAATTATTACGTGACGAGATCTTTCGTTTATTCCTCCTCCCATCTCGTTATCTGGGAAAAAAGAAAGAGACAAAAAGAAAAAAGACAAGTAAAAAGGAAAGGAAAAAAAATGATATCTACCCAGGTGGTACCGAAGTAGGTACGGACGACGATATTTCGCGAGAAAATCTACGGAAAAGAGGCTTGCGGTAGCGAAACGATTTATGGAAGACGTTAACGATGTTCTATAATAGCTATCTCCGTCATACATTCTCATCTCTCGTTTTCTTGGTACCTTACACCGGACGCTGATGGCAGAATTACACCATTAGTATCATCCTCTCGACGACGAAGACGACGAAGACATCCTCAAGATTCTTCCTTCCATCCAGTCAACGTTATGTTTTATTTTCTCCCTGTTGAGGATCAATGTCGGGAGTAAAAACATATTTGTGAAATGAAAGATCGCTTTACTAATGTATAAAGATACTAAGCCGCAGGATAAGCTCGTAGCGATGGAGATGACAATAAAAAAGAAGGAATAAACGTTGGAAAAGCGACTTATTAGATGACGTTTCTTCCTTTTTTCTTTTTTCTTTTTTTTTTTGTTTTCTTTCTTTCCTTTCTATTTTCTAACAGTCTTATTCTTTTCTATAATTATAGATATTTGTGAAAATTTTCAACGTAGAGATACGTCCTGTCGGATTTCAACTACGATACGTTTGTCCAACTTCCGTTTCATTCGCTCGTCTCTTCTGTTTGAAAACGGACGGACAGTAAACTAGAAAGATGTACGTTTGTGTACAAATAATAAGTATGTTTGATAGAAATGTTTTATCTCTTTCTTATAACGGTCTATGTTCTATCTATCTTTCTTTATCGAAGACCTATATCCCGATGCAAAACTCGAATCTGAAAAGTAATCGTTCTTTGAAGTTTACCGTTGAAAGAAGTAGATACCGAATGAGAGGAGTGTTCTTCTTCGTACGCTCTTTAGCAACGTACAGTTAATAGGTGAAAGCTAACGTTCGTTACTTTGAATTGAGGGAAAACATAGAAAAGGTATGGAAATGATAGAATAGAAAAAGAAAAAAAAAAGAAGAGAGAGAGAGAAAACTCTTTTATTTTCACATGGTGGTTTTATTCTGTAAACGGTCATTTTTCCTTTACGCCATGGTCTACATTTTCCTGCGGGAAGTCGGGATGGCAAACAGGAACTTCATTAAAAGTGGTCGAACGCTCTTTCTCTCTCTCTCTCATCGCTTTGAAGTTAGCTAGAAAGCATAAAAAAAAAAAAAAGTCAAAGTACAAAAAGCAACGATGATGGTATATGATGGAACGCTTGGTAGCCTTCGGTGGTGAATACAAGACTTTTCTCAAACGTTGGAGCGTCATCGGCTTACACTTACACGATGTTGGTACGGTCCGTTTATCGAGTGTTTCCTTCGTCGGTCCATCGTAGATCGTGTAACCTTGTACCACGATTGGACACGATCCTGTGTCCTCCATTACGTTACTCGACTTTCTTTATCGCCAAAGGCCAACGTTTTACGCAAGAATTCTCTAGCATTCTTCGTAGCAGCTTCTTCTTCATCATCTTTTGCTTTTGTTCGGTTAGATAAAAAAAGAAAAAGATAAGAAAAGAGAATAGAAAAGAAAAGAACGTTCGATTGCAAAGAGAAACTTTCATTCGAGAGCGTCAAATTTATAGCGCGAGATAAACGGTGTGCGTTTGCCATGGGCAACTGTAGTGCAGTTCGCGGTGCTCGTCATCATCGAAAATCGTATCGAGAAAACCGTCTCGCATAGATCTTTCCCCGTCTATTTTCTGTTTGTACACGCTTTATATGGTAATCCGTTCGCGATCGTTGTGCGGCAAACCGTGCGTACCGAAGAAACACACAAGCATGCAAGCATGGAAGCAAGCAAGCAAGTAAGCAATCGAGCAGGTACTCCGTGCACCGTAGATAAAGTATGACTCCTCGTATATTAAAAAGTAGAGAATAGTTTTGTGAGGGGATAGGAAGAAAGTGTGTATTCGTTTCCAGATTGCCGATGGTAACGTTGGTGGTACGTTCGCGGGGCTGCAAAGAGGAGTGTCAGACCGGTAGCAAGCAAAGTTGTGTGGCTTCTCGACACTGTCTGACCCGTGGATTATCGGCTTACCGAGCTAGCACGCTTGGGTTATTTCTGCACGTGGGATGAGGGGTTCGACCTGGATAAGGTTCGAGCTTCCAGGAGGAGGAAGAGAAGAATCTACCGTAATACTGATTTCCGGTCTCTCCTATCGCGATACCGTTAAGAGTCGATCGTTGAATGAGAATGACCGGGTGTTAGAACGCTTTTATTTTTTAATCTGATACCCAGGTACCATTCTACATTACGTTTTACACTCGGTCACGTGATCAATCGATATAGTAATACTTAGGAAAGGAGTTAGGTGTGTGTATATGATATAAGGGTTAAAGGTGTTCTTCGACGCTCGATTTCCATTATCCTTTCTCCGATGCACGGAAGCTTCGGTTTTCGGGTTGTCTGTCGAGAATTTCGCTGACAGCCTTTCTCCCGAATGCTTGTTACAAATACATGCTAGCTATTGGAGCAACACACGTTGTCGTTCGCACAAGTGTTCCCTGCTGTATCAGCACCGTGACAATGTATTCTCAGCAGGTCGTCGATTTACCGACAAGTTCTATAAAGAGTAGCGTTCCTTCCTCCGCAGCATACGAAACGGTATTACTTTTCCTGTTTACGAAGTATGGAATCGGGACGACCGGATAAACGATCTTACGAAACGTAACGCATATTTTGCGAATAAAATCTGAATTAAAGAGTACAGTTGTATAAATGATAGTTCTTACTTTTCGGTTACGTCTTGGCACGCTCGTCTAGCGACATAAATAACAAAAGTTCGGATAAGAAATAGAGAAAGAAAAATAAAGAATAAGATGATGATAAAGATTCAATATTTATTCTTGGCTCGATGTTTCGAGTCATCCCGAATGCGATGATAGAATCCTAGAACGAAAAATAATGCGCAGGATATTTATCATTGGGGGAAAACGTTGGCTCCTAGAAACAAAGAAAGTTGACGTTTTAAAAGATAGACTACGGAGGATCTCGCGGCGACGCAGGATTTCTCCTTTCTGAAAACGCTTTTCAACATTTACCGTTACTCGTGCTCCGTTTCTCCGAAGTAACAATGGCGGAAAGATCACGCGAAGCGGTAACGCGGCGACGCATACTTGCCACCCTTCAGGACTCATAATGCACCGGAGGCAGCCCAGGGGAAATTTAGCAGACGCCGTGAAAACCGTTGTTTTATACGCTTATACCGTCGTACACGCGAGACTGCCTCAGCCGTAGGTAGATACAAGGTAGGTAAGGTAAGGCAAGGTAAAAGCATTCGTGATCCCACCAGCGAGTAACTCCATTAACGTTAACTCCGCGTCCTCTTCTCTCTTCCATCCCTCTCGTATCCTTTCCTCTCGCTTTCTCATACCTCCTTCCGTTGGCTACAGTAGCCTTCGGCTTCATACAGTCAGCAGGGAAAATTAACCAAGAACGGTCAACCGAAACTATGTATATATTTATGAGCAGAAACAAATAAATATAATATTATCGGATTAATAACGGTTTCTTTTTATTCATTATTTTATTTTTATACATATACAAAAATATTTAACTCATATAGATTAATGTTAATCCGTTTTCTCGCTGTTAATCTACCGTTCTAAATCACGAGATATTTTCGTAATCAAATTTCTCACTTTACAGGACGTTTGTTTCAAAATAATACGAAAACGATACAATGAAAATGCTGAGAGAGAGAGAGAGAGAGAGAGAGAGAGAGGGAAAAAGAGAAAAGCGAATAGGAACTAAAAGTAATAAGGGAGACGTAACAGCTTCGTCGACTCGCGCCAAGCGAAACTGCTATGGAGAACAGTTTCTAGGAAATTTGGTGTCAGCACACGTTTTTACGCGCATGCACTTTCCATAGAACTGCGCGGACGCGTACCTCGTTCTATTAAAATATATCAAGGCTATTCCCCCACGAAGAATAATTTTCTTCCTTAGAGTCAGCGAATATTCGAAAAGGCGAAATCCCGCGGTCTGCTGGAATTAGCCGACGGGGTCGAACGAGTTGACAAATTCACGGATATTCAGAGGACTCGTTTCTCCCTCTCTTTCCCTCTCACTCTCTCTCTCTCTCTCTCTCTCTCTCTTTCTCTTTTTCTCTTTCTATATTTCCTCCCATCTCTTTTACTCTCTCTTCCCCTTCAGACTCTTTAATATCCGAGTCAGAGCAACGGGAAGTCAAGGGGCGGAAAGATTCACGTTTTCTGGGGCGCGAAATCGCAACAGGGTCCTTCTCCGTACTGGGTTGCGTCTCGACGTTCCCTCGATTCTATCTCGAGAGATCACCGAGCGAACGAAACGACCACGCGATAATTTTCTACTAGCATGGGATGGAAGAACTGAGCGTATTCCCCGGTGGCCACGTTTTCCTTAAAAAAAAAGAAAAAAAAAAAAAGAACGAAAGAAAGAAAAGAAAAGTAAAAGAAAAGTAAAAAAAAAAAAAAAATACAGAATAAGAAACGAAAAAACTTTCTTTTCTTCGTTCAACCTTTAAAACGCGTAGCCGTGGATTATTTTCCTCTTTTTTTTTCATTGTTTTTTGTCCTTTTCTCTTTTTCCTTTTTTTGTTTCTTTCGTTCGAGAAAATTCCATTACGTTGAACGACGACCGAGAGACGACAACTACGAGAACGACGTTAATTCTATCGACGATTTCACTTTACAGGTCCAGCGATTCCCGTGAGGGCGGTTCTTCGAGGTACAGCTGAGCTACCCTGCGATATTCGTCCACCACGACACAACGATTCGACCGTTTCGGGACACGACTCTGCCATTTTGGTCGTCTGGTACAAGAACGACATGACACCTATCTACAGGTGAGTGCGACCGAATCGATCTCTCGTGTTCCTTCTCTATAGCTTTCCTTCTCTTTGCTTTAATCCTCCACCCACCTCTTTCTCTTTACCTCCCATGAGGTTAAGTTACGGCCTCGAACGGAGGTTGTATAAAAAGACTACTACTAGCCAGAATACGCAACGTGACTTGCGCTCGTTAAGCTCGACGATAAGAACATGCTCGAAGAAAGGAAGCTTTCTCTTTCTTTGTTTCTCTTGAATGTGTTACTTGCGTCTTATATATATATATGTATATAGTTCTAACAATACATATGCATACACGTAAGATATTTTCTAAATCTTTCGTAACATTTGTGATATCTGGAAATTAAAGACCCTTCGAAGTTTAATCGCGTTCAAAAGAATTCGATTCCTTATTATTATGTATCTGTAGTCCAGAAAAACTATAGAATTATTGTAAGATTTATTGAAGGTATAATCTCGTACTTAGTTGTGTTAGGATAATGTGTTAGATACGTGACGCAGGAACACTGAAATGTAGGCTAGCAAGAAATATCGAGAACAATGTATTATTAAGAATCTCAAAAGTAACAATAGCAAAATAATCAACCAAGTAACAAGTTTTATTATTGCATTGCTTTGTAATATTGACGGTCATTCTAATATATATTGTTTATTTAATAGTTATTTAAATAACGTCTATTCTAGTTATAATCAACTCCTTTAACACGGTCATCGTCACGTCGTCCATATTTGAGTGACGTTCTTCTCGTTCAATTTTTATAAATAGAATTTTAAATTATAATCTTAAAAGGAAATTAAATGGAATAAGCAATGAAATATAAATATGAAATATATTATACAAAATTAAAAATATGAAAACACTTTTTATTCATTTATATTTATGATAAAATATTGTTAAACATAACTCAGTGTTTACGTTTTGACGTACCGACAGTCGAATTTGAGCCTAGTGAAAAACTCAATCGAATCACGGTGGACGACAAATGTGTTAAAGATAAATCTATTACTAATTAAGGAATAGGGTGTTACGTAGTTACCTAAACGACTATTAAAAAATGTTTACGTCAATTTTCCTAATTACAAGGACAGATTATTTCTTAGAGAGTGGAAAAAACAGCATAACGAACGATCCCCTCATCACGTATCCAGATAATAAACCGTAACCACTGATGTATGCATCTACGGTGTAACGCAGCTACCGATGTCCTTGATGAATTTCGTCACATGAGCCACTTGGCTTAGGTATGTCATCCCTTCCGGAATTACTCCGTTAAGCCGGAGTCAAGAGATAATGGAGTCGCATGCTACGTAGCAAGCGAGCAAGCGACCGACCGAAGGAACGTTGTGAGGGGAACACCATAAGAGTAGAGAAAGAGGTGGAAGGCTATGGAAGGGAAACATCGTGAGTTGAGAAGTGGAAAGGGTAAATTCTCTGTGTAGAAATAGGGGAAGGTTAGCTAAAAGGTGTGAGAGGTAGGCGGTAGCAAGATAATGGCGTGTCACGAGTAATGCAATTTAAGTGCGATGGTTTCCTTTAGTGTCTCTCGCAATTATTTCCTTGGCTAATGATAAAATTATATCTCGGTTTTCCACATAGATTTTCTATAATTTTTATCATCCTTTAATCATTCCAACGCCATTGATAAAGTATAACACACACACCTATGAGAATACATAAAGAATTAAAAAAAGAAATAAACCCTTCTGTTTGTTTCGATTAGATTTTATAAATAGACAAACAGAGCTTCCGTTAGAAACGAACAATTTGTATCCTCCTCCGCGTTACTTTCTGCAAGTACCATGAATCTTCTATACCATTTTTCCTAAGGATTAGTGAAGAACGGAAATAAAAAGAAAAGGAAAAAAAAAAAGGAATAAAATAGATACATAAAGAAAAAAGACAATCTATATTCTTGTTGCGTTTTTCGTTGATTTCAATCCGTACACCGGGCATGAGCACGGATAATAATTTTTGATTCCGTGCAAAAGCCGATTATAACGGCAAAATCGGATTACCCAAGAAGATTTGTATTTCGTAATAATAAATTCGCGCTATTTAGTTTTTCGTCTTATAAGATCCGTTTGATTTAATCGTACAATATGTATTACTCGAATCTACGTCTCCTAGGAACCTTCTTCATTGGTCTCGTCGGAAAAAAACATGTTAACTCAAATTTACCAGTCAGCTAAAATAAAAGAGAAAAGTTAATCGCGTGAAACGTTAATCGATATCCCAACTAACAATACTTTTAAACCAACTATGTTCCAACGAACGTACGGACGGACGGACGGACGGACCGTTGCCGTTCTTTCACCGTCTAATGTTACGTGCGATGCGTGACAAGGTATTAAAACTAGCTCGCAACTAACTCCGCACGCTTCGTTACTTAACACGACGTTTCAACAGGGATTGATTTCATTATATGACCACAAGTATATAACTAAAATACTCTGACGATTTCTACAAAGATTTCTACAACGATTTCTACCTTGGAAAAAAACCATTATTACCCTTTTCGCGAATGAAGCGCTTTAAGTGCTCACAACGTCCGTATCAATTGTAAATCGCGGACGAGTGTCTACTCCGGGGGCTTACTAAGAATAGGATTGCATATCCGGTGAAGAAATAGTCATCAATATGAACGAATACCATCAAGTTTCTTCCTTTCCATCGTAGGATTCGCATAAATTACGAGTTGAATCAACACATTACGAAATGTAAAAGATAAAAATTGTTTCAATAGTTCAACAAATAATCCAAATGCGAGGACATTTTCATCACGATATCGAAAGTTGGCGATAAAAAAACGAAAGGGCACAAAAAATAAAGAGAATAAAAGAACCAGTCCTCCGTTCGTGCTATTTCGTTGGATTACTTTAATCGAAGTTAGATTTTTCGCGTTATCGCACGCAAAACAACGGGTTTCGCGAACTTTCCTTTCTACCACTTATCGGGCTACCATGCGATCTTTATAGCGACTAAAACGTTCGTTTACTTGTTAGATTGTTATACTTATACCAAGAGATTCGAGTTAGAATTAAGCTATGGAGTTATACACGTACTTGGACGATTATAGATTCGTTCTCACAGAGTCGCGAAGTCGCTTGTCTTGGCTCCCTGCTTCACCCGTCCCCCACTCCTCCTCCGGGAACCCCCATAACCGAGTGGATGCTAGAAGGAAAGTCGCTTCGAAATACGATGCAGTAGTCGTACCGAGTTTATAGTCGGACAAACACAGGGAGGAGGTACGGTACACCTATATCGGAGCAGGTCAGGCACGTAGTTTGACCGAAGTTAAGTCCATTAGACAATGCAAAATGTAAGACTTAAGTCTTAAGCCTATCGAGCGAGAGTCTAGCGCTGTTTGGTTACTACCACTGAGATGTAAAGCTCGAGCGCGGAGTTGCCTGTAATTGGCCGATTGGCTTAAGTCTTAACTTACAGGCTTATTCATTGTTCGCGAAACGTTCTCTCTATATATACATATATACATACCATACAAGATTTTATGTATATATGTAAGAGTTCAAGACTTCGAGGATATATAGTACTCATTAAGTTAAGTAACAAGTTCTTAGCCGATGTGAATCGAACAAAAAAAAGTAGCCCTTGATTAAGTTATAAATAGTATCGAATTTGTTTGTTTTCATTCCACGAGAGAAGGGACTTATCTCATTCTCGTATAGAACAAATATGATGGTAGGTAGGTTATTGATGAAAAGAGAAAGAAACTACTCAATGCTTCGATAGTCGTATATAATTGCTCTCTTACCACTTTTATCGCTATCGATAATAGGGTCGTTCGTTACATTTTAGAATTGATCTCGTTATTATTGTTCTTCGTGCAAATAAGAGACATTCGTCGATCACGTCCCATTCAATAATGATTGCTCTCTCACGTCATATTTGGATAATGTAATATTATTTATCGATCGTAATTGAATGTGTGTACACGTTCGTAATCTAGAATAATATAATACTTAAAGCTTTTGAAAAATTCATGATATTAAATATTCGTGATCTTTTGTTTGAAGCGCAATGTTTTAACGTATAAAAATAAGATCACGCGACAAATTTTCATTCTTGTCAAATTTATTCCTTTTTACCCCTTGGCGAATGTCATTTCCGGTACAATCTAATATTACTGACGGACGTGCATACGTTACAAGACGCGCTAGCATGTAGTTTTATATGTACCTACATAAGTCCCTGGAATCCCACCAACAAATTGCACTTTCTAACGCTACGTTAAGCAAAATGTGCAAAACGCGATATCGGTTTGGTGGTTAAACGCGCGTGATCCGCGACGATCAGTCAAGTAATTTGTTTCTCGAGCGTCATTGAAGAATCCTTTGAAAATGTTCTAACCTTTTAATATATTTCTTTTTTTTCATTCATTCAAGAATAATGCCGACGTACAGAAAAATGACCCTTCAATATTTTTAAGACGATCGTTAAACTCATTAAAGTGTTCTCTCTTATCTTCAAATTGTGCACATAATTATGAAACTGGTCTAACTCAAAAAATTCTAATAAAATAAGTTTATTAGTTATTTCACACACATCATATTATTTTTAAATTAAATTAATTCAATACAATTTTCACGATATTGTCAAAAATGAACTTTTCGATAATATTTGTTATTTCAATATTATATAGAATTCATTTAGTGTTCAAATGTAATCTCGAAACAAGAGATATATGAGTTAGACCACTTTCATAATTATGATCACAATTATCTTCTTCGTTGGATTGAACATTTTGATCTATTTCCTTTGTTTTTTTTTCTCTTCTCTCTCTCTCTCTCTCTCTTTCTTTTTTTTCGAACATGCTAGTTCTTCCAACGTTACTTGACATTCTCATCACGTTCTCCCGGCTGCGTTTTGCAACATCGCCCTCGGAGAGCAGCACCATCCTTTGAAAGTCGTCCTCGTAACGCCTATTAGCTTCACCGTATTCGTCCGTCTACAGACTGGCACAGCTTGCACGCCTGAA